GCCTGAACAGAATTCATCAGTTCCTGACCACTTGAATTCATTGAAAGATGCATACATTTGGTTCTCAACTAAACCAAATAAAAGCCAACGGATGCCAACGGCAAGAGGGGTGACCTGAGTCAACATGTTCATGGTGCCGTTTTGTGTGTGCCTGTTCACCTGGAGTTGTTCTTTCACCGTGACGACATTGTCTTTCGCCTGTAGCGGCTGGTCCAGACATATGCTCATCGATCAGGTGAAAAGTTTGTTGCTGGACTTCTTTGGTGGCACTCTTGCAGACAAGGCAAGTATGTCAAAATTTGAGATCTATCTCAATTGCCCTGCGGACAATTCCACTGATGTACAGTCAGTTCTCTCGAAGCATTAGATGACCTATAGGCGATAGGCGGTTGTTGCAAGGTTGAACATATACAGTTCTTTATATGTGACATGTTGGGTTGCATAAATGCGCTTTCAAGTGCTTGAGCCATTTTGGATCAGAAGTGGAGACAAAGCTGTGAAGTTCTTCAGAACTGATGACGGATTTCCTCTCCACCAGCATCAAATACTACCTGCTACATGCCACGAAAGGCAAAGCGACCGCATCGCTGGACAAGATTGAAGTGAAGGCACAGGCGGCTGAATCGAAGAAAGCCTCCAAAGCGCAAACACCACAAGCTCCAGCTCCCGAAGACCAGGACGAAGACCAGGACCAATTCGGACGCAATCAAAAAGAGCTTCTGGAGCTTTGCAAGAGGCGCTTCTTCTACCGGCAGTCATCGGACATCTATGGTGGTGTTGCAGGCTTCTATACCTATGGCCCACCAGGTTGCGCCGTGAAGAACAATATCATCAGCCTTTGGAGACAGACCTTCGTGATCTCCGAACATCTCCTGGAGATTGAGGACTCGTGAAAGTGTTAGAACGTGTTAGAACCGACTTTGGGGATTCAGGATCTTATGTGTGGATATGTATTGCAGTATGCCGCCAATGCAAACCTGACCCATTGCATTCAGTTGCCCTCAATCAAGACGGGATCAAAGGTGTGGAATCAGTCAATGCATTTTCTTGACCCTTCTGTCAGGACAGCTGCATTATGCAGCATTCTGTTCTCAAAGCTTCTGGTCATGTAGATCGCTTCAATGACTTTATGGTGAAGGACGTCAAGGAGAGAGATGTGCCGGACTTGATTTCTTGAGCTTTCCTGCAGTGAAGGCAAGAATGAGTTTCTGATGACACACTAATAATAAGAATATTGACAATTACAAAATATTATCATATATATATATATACAAATCCCGCCGGGTTTAGCTACTTAAGACAAAGAGTGCTTTGGGTGCTGGTCATTAAGTACTTATCCAAAAGGGTCCCTGTCTTAAGTAGACCTTCTTCCTCGTCTCCACACCGAGCCTGCCAGTCCAGATTTCCTGAGATCAACTTTCTACAGGCCGCGGTAACGCTTCAGCCAGCGAGAGTTTCTGCCCACTGTGCGTAGAGTTTTTGCCTACTGTATGTTCTTTCACATCTTTACAAGAAGTCCGAAGCCACCACTGGTACACATAGCACCTCGACAAGCCGTTGACTTCTCCAATTTTGATCCTCTTTGTTTTGTGCAGTGATTGGCTTCGGCACCCACCGCTTTACATCAGCCCGCATTTGATCCACAAGGCTAGTATTGACTTGGATCTCACCATATCCTGCAACCTTTGCTCTTTGACTCCAATACATGAGATACAATGTGTGCGCAATCCCCTTGAGACCTTGAGATGCACATGTGTGCACAAGACAACACGCATGCAATGCAAGCATCTTGCCCACCCCCCGAACCCCCCTTGAGATACACATGCAGATGTGGGACGAACCCTCGGACAAAATAGGACAGTTCTGAATTCGAAGTTCATTGTGTTCAGAAAACCGACAGTTCTATGTCATGTAAAACCGACAAAACCTGGCGCAAAAAAAAGACGCAGAAAACACAAGTGAAGAAGCACGTAAAATACATATAAAAGTAGACATGATGCATTTCGTACCACTGTCTTAAGTAAACCCGTTTGGATAGTTCTGGATATATATATATACATAGATGACATCAGTTTTGGCTGCCAGAATTGAATCCAACCATGACACTTTGGATTGTCAATCCATTTGCCTTATGTGGCTCCCCTTTGCTTCCCTTTACGCCAATGCTGAAGGCTTACACTCGCAGTATGGCCGCCTTTCCAAAGCCACCACCTTCCAAGAAATCGAATGTTCCCTTTTGAGAAATATGCAGATTGTAGGACGAGTCCAAGTTCTTCAGAGCCGACAAGCTCTTAGAGGAGGTCATGGAAGCCAAGCTGCAAACACCAGGCAGGAGCCAAACAGGTGCCGTCGACACGAACTTGCTTTCTATCAAGTTCTTCTCCCAAAGTAAGGGGTACAAGGCCCCTGTGACCCATGGGCCACTCAGATTAATATTGAATAGTATTTGGGATTTCAGACCAGGACAGCCCCACTCGAAAGCAGTCGACATCGATGTGGACAGGCATCACTGAAGCACAGAGGCATGAGTACACCACTGTGCGAAACCAGGCGGGGGGTGACGGGCACGGAAGAGATGTTAAGAGTGGTTTCAGCGGATGGAAATGATGAAACCAGTTGAGTATGCAGACAGATCCTGCAAGCTTGGAAAGACGAGTTTCTTAATCTTGACGGAGCTGGGTCTTCAAGTATTGGAACGATGAGACAACTCAATGGATAGTTGGAAGTATGATGTTTTTATTTTTTTCATGCAGCAACACCAGACAAGCTCTTCTAAAGTTAGTGGACATCATGTTTAGTTCTGACACCAAAGTTTCTTGAGTCGCAGGCGGATGCCTTCTCACAGAAAGAGATGTGGGAGATGTTTCAGAAATACGAAGCCCAGATGCATTGGTCCTGGCAAGAGCATACAGCACGTTCATGTAAGAGTGTTTCGGTGATTGACATAGCTTTAGACTGGCTTTGCTAAATCTTTCTTTGTATCCTGGTCTCCAATATTATCAAATCGCAGTTCATTGTTCAATATTGTTCAATCGCGCAGATGGTTTTCAGAATGCATTGCAGATGCCCAAATTTCAGGAGATCAAGTCCCCGGAGACAGGAAATGACTTGAGCGAGCCCTACGAGTTCAATTTGATGTTTCCGACCCCAATTGGCCCAGGTGGCTATTTGCAGGGTTACCTACGACCAGAGACAGCACAGGGCATTTTCTTGAATTATAAGCACCTTGGTCTTTGAATTATTTTTTGCATAGGTTTGCCTTTGAACCTCTCACGGGAAGCAGTCGTCAACAGATTTTGACCGTCCGGTGCTTGTTTTTGGCCCACAATGGACAAAACCAACAACTTGGTCTTTTCAGAGCAGATTGCCATGAGTTTTGGTCTCTAGATCTTTTTGCTAATATCACCAGGACTAAAGCTGCCGCAGCTCGCACGGGCCTGTTCCATTTCTTGAAGGTGGTGACTGTAGATGTCACCGCTTGATTCCCTGTGTTATCGTGTTTCAGGTATTGCTTGGAGCAGAACTCGAACCGCCTTCCCTTTGGTGTGGCGCAAGTGGGGCGCTCTTTCCGCAATGAGATTGCGCCCCGGGCTGGCCTTACAAGACAGAGAGAGTTCACCCAGGCAGAGATCGAGTATTTTGTGAATCCCAAGCAGAAGGCCAGATGTTCTGAAAAGATCCAAAGCAAGTTGTTGCAAATCGTGCAGATATCATCCATACTGACTCTCACTTTTACTTGGATCTTTTGCTGTGTGACCTGGGGTGGATGAGGTCCACACTAACTCGTTTGAATGATTGATTTGTGTGTGTGTGTCACGAGTGACCAATCTTCAAGAGAACAGCGAAGCATTGCTAGGAAATATCAACATGTTCACATAGTCCAAGGTGTTGTTGTATGTGTTTTGTCTACTTTAGAGCAGCGTATTCCAGAACAGACCCATACAAACATGCAACAACTGTAAAAATGGGGGAAAATATACAATATGGTAGAACAGGATGACGTGATTGATGGCTTGATGCCTGATAGCTTCACATGTTTGCTGGCTTGTTGCTCTTGACATGTTTTGATGGGTTTGGGTGAGCTAGCACAACGAAACCATTTGTAACCGTTTCTCTCCATCTGTTGTTGTCTAGCCGCTCGCACCTTCACCCATCGCATAATAATATATGCTCTTTGTATAATGCTGCGGCAATCCCCTTCAGCAAAGTTTGCTGGAGCTATCCTGAATTGCATTTTGTTTGATGGAGAACAGGTCAGACTTTTGTTCACGCACAAAATACTCAAGATGACCAACTATGAGGAGGTAAATGGATGCAACTGGAGCATTCTTTTGCGCAAGAGTTGTCAAAGGCAGAACAAGAAGTACACGCTTGTCTAAGGCTATACCTCACACTAACTGCGGGGCCTGTGGCGTTCCCCATGATGAACAGTTGTTTGGGATAGGGTTCGTTGTCTTTCACGTTCAAAGACGCTAATGAGAGATGTCTTGAACAAGCAGTGCCATGACAGACTTGCAAGCGTAACTTCGAGTATGTTTGCAAAAGATCGCGTTCGCAGTAGAAGTAGAAAGCACAATTTGTTAGTGTATGTTATTTGTAGAGATGACTTGATGATTGACGTATGGGTGTGCAAGCTCTATATTATTTGTGTTCAAAGCAGTTGCAAGGTGGTTGGATGTATATACTACCTCTTTCCGCTGCTTCTTGCTGCAAGGATCATCCAAAGTTTGGACTGGTGGAAAGTACCGTGCTGACTCTATTCCATGCGGATGCACAGCTCTCTGCACAAGACCCTGTCAAGATGACAGTTGGGGAAGCAGTGCGTTCGGGTCTCATCAACAATGAGACTCTGGGCTACTTCATTGTTAAGACATGGCAATTCCTGGTCAGTATCGGATTGAAGAAGGACCTTTGTGCTTGTGAAGTGTTCCTAAGCGGCGACGCATCTTATCCGATTGTGCAGGAAAGCATATTTGATGCATTTTGAAATGTTTCCGTCTCCCGTAGAACGATCACAAAAACCGGGCGCTTTCGCACATGTAATACACACGCATGTGAGTGTGAAGAAGCAAATGCATGGGAACGCGAAGGCCAGAAGCTTGAGGTGTGCATGCACAAGTGTAGTACCAAGACCAGAAGCTTCCGGACTCCTGACCGGGGCACCAGGAATACATTCGTTTTCGTCAGCACCTGCCGACAGAGATGGCTCACTATGCCTGTGACTGCTGGGATGCAGAGATCTTTGGGTCCTATGGGTGGTTGGAGTGCGTCGGAATCGCTGACCGCTCTGCGTTCGATTTGACAGCACATGCTAATGCAGCAAAATGCGACTTGCAATACAAGGAGCATTGGGCCCAAAGTATGGAAAGAAGCGTTTGCTACCAAGTCAGCTTAGCTGTTTTTTCTTGGGTTTTGACATGAAAGCAAAGAACTGTGCGGACAAAGTTAATGTCGCCACATGCTCAGCTACTAAGACTCAAGCGTCGGGCATAATCCATCAAAAAGAGGAGTCATTGGAGAAACCCTTTGAGCGAGAGATCCTGGTCCTGACCAAGAAATCCGGGGTCGAGATCATGAAGGCGTTCAAAAAGGATGGAAAGATGGTGAAAGAATTTGTAGAGGCTCCGACGATGAAGTTAACAGTTGTTGTTCAGTTTCTTTGCCTGATGCAGAGCTACACTGTACTTGTAGGACTAAGCAGACAAGCAATATGATACACCAACCCCCTTGTTCAGCGAGGACAGGTGATAGGTAGACCAGAATTTTGCTTGGCCAGTGAATCATTCAAAGTTGCCCTAGGCACAGCCACAGGAGGAACTAGAATGTATTGCCAAGCAACTGGATTCCAGTGGAGATGCTGAAGTTCAGATCGACGGCAAAGCCTTCACATTAACCAAAGGCCTTGCTGTCTTCGAACGGAAGAAAGAGAAGGCACCACTGAAGGGGCCGGAATTGCTGGAAGCCAAAATCACCTTGAAGTAGTCCTCCTACCAAAACGTTGATTTTCTTGCTGAGCCTTTGTTTTTTCTGTGATACAAGCATGATCAAGCATGTATATTGTATATGCCTTGAATATAGTACATAAATGTACATAACATATATGCCTACATCAGGTGTTGTTGTTGAAGACCCTCCAGCTTAGCAAGAAGCTGTTTGAGATGGAGAGATAAGCTGGTCTAATCAGCTCAAGTCATTTTTGGGATCATAGGGAATTTTGCCAAGCTCAAGAAAACTACTCCAAAGCTATATAAAAGGGAACAGGAGCAGAACAATAACAAAGAGCGAATGAAAAACCAAAGAATTTGCACACTTCTGAAAGGTCACTGTGAATGCCTTCACTCCCGGTGTCATCGAGCCTTCCTTTGGAATCGACCGCATTTTCGCCATGCTACTAGAGCGGCTTGATTGCATCTTTGCAAAGCAATACTCGTAGTTTAATTGCTGGGTTGCTGGCCAAGGCATGTCTACAGTGCTCGGCCGAAGGAAGACCAAGATGACAAGCAGACACGGGGGGGTTTTGTCTTTTGCTGCTGCCTCTGCACCATACAAGTGCCTTGGGCCTAAACTAACCTCGAGCATTGGCGGCTATGGTTGCAAAGTGTTGCCAACTCAGTCATGCTGTCGTCGATTGTTTCTTTCGTCGTCAGTCATGTCTCTGCAGGTGCGTAATTCTGCCTTTGGATCAGCGAATTGCCCGCGACAAGCGGTATCTTCAGATGCTTGATTCCTTCCAGAGCCTAGTCTCATGTATTTGCTCAAGTGAAATCATATTTTCCAAGAGGGTGTCAGAATGTTTCTCTGAAAAGACTCAAGACTTACTTGTATTGTTTTAGATTCATTTGCTGTAATTTAACTCTTCGGCATGTTTAGATTCGAAAGGTGTCATTCAAGCAGATCAGAGTAGATGCTGGTCTTTCTGGTGCCAATCTCCAGGAGAGAACTTTGTGAACAGGGCCTGTCCTTCACTAGTGATGAGAGCAATGCCACCATTGGCAGAAGGTGTGCAAGCGCAAGGGCATGGGCTCCTGATTCTGCGATACGATACGGAGATTGCCAATTAGATCATGAATACCAGAAGGGATCACTGTACTGTACGAATATCCAGCGGCGTTTGGCTGCGAAAGCTTCCAAAAGCCTGAACAGGAGCTTCTCAACACATCCAAAAATAGATGTCAGTATCTCTGGCTCTCGGTACACTGTAGGCTGTTTGGTTGGCTTGAAAGGGCTTTCAGTTCGTGTGTCTTGGGTCTTGGGAGGCGTTTAGGTGCTTAGTTGCATTTACATGACAAACATCGACACACCCTGTTGATACCTTTGCAGTTGAGAGATGTTGAGACGATCAAGCACCCAGTACAGAGCTTGAAATGGTTCAACAGTTGCTTTTCTTCTCAAGCCCAAAGCCCCGTAACTCGTGTCTCAGCGCAGAAGCCAGGTATGCTCGTAATGATGAGTTGGGCGTGCCTTTTGCGGTCACGTTTGACTTTGAAACGATGGAGGTCCGTGCTGGGTGGAGGGTGAGATTCAAAGTTTGACTGGTTGGCTACAGGGCCCGGCTTGCAAACTGTCTAGGCATTACTTTGAGTCTAGAAAATATTATATATGTGTGCCTGAATTCTAGATTGCTAATTTATCTAAAGGTGCAATGGTCACTGCAAAATGCTGCAACTGACTTACTTAGGCTGATATACTCTCCCTCCAGCAACCTTAACAGCCACAGATACAACACATCCATGCCATGATTGTGAGACACAAAACGGCTTAATCTGAAAAATCGAGAAGATTCTGAGCTCGAACAAACGTCATCATGGACACTGGGCATCCACTGCGTGCCTGCCTGCCATGTTCGTTTTAAGAGGTGGACATGAGAAACGCATTGAGAAAATAACTGACATGGACGACATTAGGCGATTTGCACTCTCTTCGTGGCTTCTATGTTAATTATTGATTTAACAGTGCAAATGCTTGCTTCCCTGGCATCATATTCGTGGAGGTTTCTGCCTGTGTACTTCGAGTGCTTAAAAGAACGCTGTGCTTCCATGATTGTCTCACAGAGTGTAAGTGTTCAAGTTCAATGACCATGCGAGCTATGTTTGCAGCTCCATGTTTGGCATGATGCGATGTGTTTGTCTAATGACTCTACTGCACTTGGATGTGTTTCCACTGGTTCCTGGTTTGTCCCCAAAGGACAGCAGCGTGACCCTTCGAGAACGCGACACCATGTGGCAGATCCGACTGCAGCTGTCGCTTCTGGGAGAGCTTTTGCGGTGCCTTTGCAAGGGTAGCGAGTCCTGGCAATCCGCCTTTCAACGCTTTCCCCACAAAAAGAGCCTTGGAACGGAAGCAGAATTTACCGTTTCGCCGAGAGCTATTGTGAGGCAAGTCAGAATATACTTGAGCAACCTTGAGCACCAGTGTTCCCGTTTCCGTCTAGTGATCTCAGGACAAGCAACGAAGAGTTTCGGAAAGACTAGGCTGGAGGCAGTGGATTTTGTGTTGAAGCACAGATTTGCGTCCTCAGACTGTCGGCAGCTGGCTGCGGCTGGAGTGCTGGAGAGTGAAAAAGTGCGAAACGGTGGCAGCTCACGGAGCTTAGTGGACAGCTATGTTACGAAAGCCAGCCTTCGTAGAAGGCGCCAGCGGAGTTGTGTTTGGCGAACGAAGTGAGTAGTAGGGGGTCTGGGGGGGGTGGCCCGCAAAAGGTACACGTAAACTTGGCACATGCTGGGGGAGGAGGGTGCGTCGAGGGAAGGTTTTTTGAGGTTGTGTTGGAGATGATTTTTGAGGGGTGGTGATGCAAGAAATGCAGTTTGCATCATTTGCATCATCTGAATGGAAAGGTGTAGTTGGCACCTTGCCAGGTATAGAGACCCAGGGTAGCTATAGTGCAGCTACCAGGTGTAGTACTTCAAGTTATGGGGGGTACCTTGATTCAATATTCCAGGTCATACCGTGAGTTCACAGAATATTTTTTCTGGAATATTTTTACAGGAATATTTATGGCTGGAGGTATGTGATACTGATACTGGAGACAAACCCCAGAATATTTTTTGTATGAAGAACATGTTGGAGGAGTGATGAAAGATGGGCAATCCAACCGCACGATAACCTCTACACACGCACAGCAATCCACAGCTTTGAAGCCTCATGCGCGCGATACCTGGGAACAGAATTGTAGCTACCGTGGGTCCGTATGAATGCTATGTTGCTATACCTCTTACACACCTATACCAGTTCAAAGCACGAATGAGACTTCATAGCTGTGGTTTGCTGTGCATGTGTGGCTCGAGAAAGATATACGTAAACTCTGGAAGGTGATGCTTTGATGCTTTTGGAGCGGGTGGTGACGCACTCGCCAACGAGAACATATACCCTTCAATAGGATCTCGAACAGCTCAAATCCAGAAGATTCTCATATAGGTGAACCCTGGGAAGACTGGGAAGCGAGGAGGTGGAAAGTCCTTTGCTCTCGCTTCGCAGACCTTCATTTTCATGGTGGCCTGAACAGAGTGTTTTAGGGCAGCAAACCCTGGTCTCAGGCCACCTTGAATTTAGCTTGAAAACCACAGCTTTGAAGCCTCATGCGCGCGATACCTGGGAACAGAATTGTAGCTACCTGGGTCCGTATAAATGCTATGTTGCTATACCTCTTACACACCTATAGAAGTGCAAAGCACGAATGAGACTTCCAAGCTGTGGTTTGCTGTGCATGTGTGGCTCGAGAAAGATATACGTAAACTCTGGGGGGTGATGCTTTGATGCTTTTGGAGCGGGTGGTGACGCACTCGCCAACGAGAACATATACCCTTCAATAGGAACTCGAGCAGCTCAAATCCAGAAGATTCTGAAAATGGCCTGGCTCCCTATATGAACCCTGGGAAGACTGGGAAGCGAAGAGGTGGAAACAGCTGGGAGGTCTTGAACTTTTAAGTAAACAAAAGGCCACATTCAAGCAGCAGAAGGACAATGTGCATCCTCTGCTCTCGCTTCGCAGACCTTCATTTTTAAGGTGGCCTGAACAGAGTGTTTTAGAGCATGAAAAATTGTCTGTTTTAATAAAAGCCTTGTCACAGAGACACCTCAGGACCCTTGCTTCGCATATCTTCATTTTTGAGGTGGCCTGAACATATAGTTTCGGGCAGCGAGCCTCTGGTCCCAGGCCACCTCGAATTTTGGTGCATTGTTTGGCTTTTGCTTCATCTGAATGTGGATGGGAACTCGGTCGGGGGTCGCGGGGGGGTGGTATACATAAACACTTGGAGAAAGATATATGTAAACTCTGGGGGGTGATGCTTTGATGCTTTTGGAGCGGGTGGTGACGCACTCGCCAACTATACCCTTCAATAGGAACCCGAACAGCTCAAACCCAGAAGATTCTGAAAATGGCCTGGCTCCCTATATGAACCCTGGGAAGACTGGGAAGCGAAGAGGTGGAAACAGCTGGGAGGTCTTGAACTTTTAAGTAAACAAAAGGCCACATTCAAGCAACAGAAGGACAATGTGCATCCTTTGCTCTCGCTTCGCAGACCTTCATTTTTAAGGTGGCCTGAACAGAGTGTTTTAGAGCATGAAAAAATTGTCTGTTTTGACAAAAGCCTTGTCACAGAGACACCTCAGGACCCTTGCTTCGCATATCTTCATTTCTGAGGTTGCCTGAACATATAGTTTCGGGCAGCGAGCCTCTGGTCCCAGGCCACCTCGAATTTTGGTGCATTGCTTGGCTTTTGCTTCACCTGAGTGTGGATGGGAATTATCTATGTGTGAAGTCGGTCGGGGGTCGGGGGGGGTGGCCCGTAAACTCTTGGAGGTGATGTTTTAGTGATTTTGGAGCGGGTGGTGATGCAAGAGTGCTTTTTCCCCAAATAGTGCTCCGCACTAAGGGGTTCTTACGGTAAGAGTTAAGCGGGTTTAGATCAGGGTTCGCGCGTGTGGCCCCGGCATTTTGCGTGGGCCGGCTCGCACAAAAGTTACTTTTTGAATTCCTC